AATGAGGTAATTTGAACGATTTTTGGGAATGGTTAAAATAACATGTTTGCACGGGTGCTATGACACTTGGATATGGGGACCTGGATTTTATAACAGCGTCAACAAGAATTCTGACCTTAAAGGTCACCCACGATGACGGCAGTAGCTTCGTTACATGTTACATATCCACAATAAAATCACGTAATAGATGTAATGTTTTGAAAACGGTTCATATTTGTGGAAAGGTGGATTTTTCCTGTTCCGTGGTTCCCAACGTAAAAAAGTAGCTTGAAGTAGCCGGTTGCAGCGGCTTTACTGCAAATAGACCGCGGGTAACCCCAGATCGAACGCCCGCTCTATTCGAATGACGTCATATCGAACAAGATTCGCGGGTTCGGGGGATTCGATCTCCATAGTAGCGGACTGGGACTTTTGGGCCCAAATCTGACCATCGTGTATGCCGATGATGTTGTAATATTTTCAGAATCAGACAAAGGTCTACAATCGGCCATAGATAGATTAAGTAACTTCTGCGACAAATGGAAACTCCAAGTAAATTTGAAAAAAACTAAAGTTGTTATTTTTAACAAAGCAGGTCGTTCATTTCCAAAGCAAAAGTTTTACTTTGAAAACAATACAATAGACAACGTTACCTCCTACTGCTATTTAGGCCTAACCCTTACATCATCAGGTAGCTTCACCCTAACTTAAAAGCAGCTATCACTGAAGGCACGCAAAGCCATTTATAGTTTCAAATCTATTATCCGTTCATCAGTCTTACCACGTAGCCTCCTAAAGATTTTTGACACATGTGTAAAACCGATTTTATTGTATGGATGTCAAATATGGGGGACTGAACAGCAACATGATACCTCACCTATCGAAAATGTACACAACCAGTTCTGTAAAAATGCTCTCGGTGTTTTTAGAATTAGTAGCAATGTCGCATGTAGAGCAGAATTAGGTAGATTCCCTTTAGATATAGATATTTGTATATATGTAGTTAAATTCTGGTTACGCCTGATCCAATTAGATACAACTTCACACCCCCTTCAAAGGGATGCAATCCTCTTACAACAAAGTCTTCCGACAAATACCCGTAGACGATCGAGAACTTTACTTCAACGTGTTAAAGACATATTAGATCACAATGGATACTCCTTTCTGTGGCATTCCGAAAACTCACATTATGATCCTGAACATGTGGGAAAATGCTGAGAAGGAGACTTACAGATATATACAAACATTTTTTTCATACTATGTCAACTGATAGTGGTAAGTTAAGATTTTATGCAAAATGTAAAACTATGTACAACACAGAGCGATATCTTAATCTTGCAGACTTCGAAATGCGCTCAGCCATTAGCAAAATTAGAGTTAGCGCCCATCCTTTGGAGATAGCCGGTATAGAAGGCTACCTGTATGTGAAAGAATTTGTAAATATTGTAATGCAAAGGCTGTGGAAGACGAAATACACTTTATCTCAAATTGTTCCTTTCATAGCAACGCTCGAAATGAGTTAACTATTCAAACTTCTACAATTTATCCCAATTTTACTAAACTTACAGACCAAGAAAAAACTATTCTTCTTTTAACTTCCCAAAACCCACTAATTTTAGAAAAGGTGGGACATTGCGTCTTCCATAGTCTAAAAAAGAGAAGTCAAACCCCTTAGACATAGTTTTAGACATAGCTATAGCTCTAGACAACTACCTTTCATCATGTAGATTTTAGTTATTTTATACTACGTTTCATTGTTCTTTTATGTTTGTAATCTGCAATTAGCCCCCCGGGCATGAATTTGCAATAAACTTCTAATTGTAACTGTGTCACAAAATCAAGAATACTACTTGCAACTTTCAGTTTCTGGAAAACCAACCTTGTGGTCAAATTTAAGTTTTTCAAACTGTCCTGTCAAAGTTTTATCAATGTATAGTATAAAATGTCAACCTCACAACTGTGTTAGCTTGACGTGTTTCTAGAAATATGGGTTGTAATTTTGGTGTCAATTTGGTAGTATGAGAAAACAGTATACATGTAGACTGGAACTCTGTTAGAACTATACAAGTAACTGCCAGACAAATTCTATTACACTACGCCGCAAACATTGGCAAGACAGAGCTGTCATTACATTTTTACTTAATATTCTAGGTTAGGTCACTAACCTCTTTACGTACAACTGTACATACCTTTTAGCCCCAGGAGCGGACCTTGGGTAGCGGACGAAAGCTAACAAGGCTGACACTCAGGCTACATAACTTTCTTATCTGTTGTCAACATGTTTCAAACCAAAAGTGTCTTCAAGAGTCTTTGTCAGCACCTTAGCCTACCTGTGCCCATGTTACCACCACGGTAGTCAGGGATAGAATGAGGTCTGACAGTTTACGTTCAACTTAGAATCTATTGGGTGCTTATATGGTACAAGCCTGGTACAAAAAACAGCGACAACATAATCCTGTTGTCTGAGGTTGAATATCCGTGTCACTGTTGTGAGATATTACTGCAATTCCTGATTCTTTCACTGACACTGTATTTTATGTTCACTGTTTTCATTCTTGTTTCTGTACAGTGAACTAATCATTACGGTTAACAAATAATTCCTAGACCTTCTTTTCCCTGCACCTATCGTCACCGTGAACATATAGTTCCGTGAACATGTCCATTTTTCTCAGACCGTGAAGTTTTGCTACAGTAAACATAAAGTGAATTACAGCATTATCCAGTTGCTTTAGTAATAATCGTCTTGTGTATTTCATCGCCAAGTTGTCCAACCTTTATCGACGTATTCAGAACAAATACGTTTTGGTCAGCTCACGCCGGGATATATTCCCACCTTTATCAGAAGGCACTTGACGTAGTTCGGCATAACGACATAGCTTTCGGCTCGTAACCAAGAGATCCCGAGTTCGAATCCTGCCATGCTACCGAACGTCTGCCCTTTGGAAAGGTACTTTAAACGACTTTCCTCACTTCCCTCAGGTGAAAAAGAGTGTGTCTGTTGCCCGTTCAAGTAGTGTCGGTGGCAGACAATTAACTTGAAAAAACTGTGCCGTCACCATGTCTTGGGATAAATGTTGGAAAACAATAAGCATGAAGAATCGATACCTCTCTGACTACCTCTCAATCATTCAAAAATACGAAATGTAACTTCTCATGTTCGCATGTGGTGAGAAGAAAATTCGTTGAAGTGCCTTGTGTCAATTCTGCCAGGAATGAAAACCCGGCTACACCCCGGAGTATTTTGAACATCCTCACCACCATAACTACCAACATATCTCTAACAAAAATATCACTAACTTAACATATTATTACTAACATAAGCAAAAAATTCATGAAAGAACAGCGCCGCTATACTCACCAACGTCTCAGCGCCGTACTGTTTAGAAATGGTAGAAATTGAATTGTCCTCAATTGAAGGATGATTCGATATTTTATAAAAAATACCTTATACTGTGACATAAATGTCCTAAATCGCTAAAATATTTCGTGCTCTAATGTAATTTCCACGCAAATATATAGTTATGATATTATTTTTATAATCTTAATTTTATCAGCCTCACAGTTCAGCTCCTCAGCTTGATTTTGTTGTCCGAATAAAATCTCAAAAATGTTCAAACTTGTTCCAACACAAGCAAGAAACTCACCATAAATTTTTGGCTGTTCCCGTCAACCTTTATCAGATGTGTGATGCAATCGCTGAACACTTTCCGGAAGTCGGAAGCGTGATGACGTCAGGAGTGCATCAAAAGTGGCGGAAAGACGGAATCTACCAACATGACGGCTCAGAGAGGGTTGATAGGCCCTGATGTAAATCGCCTCCTTCACGCCTGTTACAAAGTAGTCCTACTCCGTGTCCAATATGCTTACATTATCCAGTGCAACTGTGTGGGCGGGGATTCTATAAGTATGTGGAAGTGGGGCGCCTGTGCTCCTAGAATCTAGTTTTCAGTGACCATCCACTTTCACCTAAGTATGTATGTTTCAGGGCACGGCCCCCTTATGTTCTGTCCTGCACACCGTATGTGGTATACCACCCCACACTGTTCTTTCTGGGCCTTATCTTTGGGTGCCACTAACAGTTGTCTTAAAGTCCGAGTTGGTTTAAAACAATCCGAAACCACAATCCGAGCTCTTCTACGCGGCAAAACAGAAGGCTAGTGGGCTCACCGTACGTGAAGAACCTATCGGTACATAATTCAGACTTAAATCAATATTAAGCTGTACTACTGTCTCCCACAAGGATACTATTGCCATTGATAACCTAATACTCTTCCCTCCCTGATTCTCCCATGCATGTACTAGATTCGTATTATCTACAAAAGTATTCACTATTTAATTGCGCACTCTCTCCTCTGCGGATACTAAAACCCTTCTAAGGCTTCTGTCTCCTTCACTGCTATGATCTTCGCTCGCTCTTGTCCCTGCCAGGAATCAGCAAATTGTACTAACCATTCTTCTGTGTGTGCAACCCGTACACTTGACGTGTGCGGGCCTGCACACG